GGTGCTGCATGACAAGCTTTAGCCACTGGGAGCGCGGAATCCCTCAGCGCCCCAGGGAGAGCAAGAACTCCACCACCAGCGTGTCCAGTGGGCAGGAGCACCCACTGTTCCACGGCAGGCGGGTTTAGCGCTCCGCTGGGCTCCTGCAGAGACGCAGAGCCATGGATAGAAGCGGGATTGGCGGCGGCGGGAAGTACGCAGTTCAACTTCCCTGGCAGGCGGGTTTAGCGCTCCGCTGGGCTCCTGCAGAGACGCAGAGCCATGGATAGAAGCGGGCTTGGCGGCGGCGGGAAGTACGCAGTTCAACTTCCCTGGCCTGGAATGGAGTGGGAGCAGGGCTATGGGGGCGGGTGGCTGTCCAACGGGGGTGTCGGTGGAGAGGTCCCAGGCAGCAGTGGGGGTGGATGGTGTCCCTTGATGGTCCCCCAGGCAGCTCCTGGTATATTGCAGGTCAGCCACCCGGGGCTTGAATGGATGGAGGGAGGGAGGGATGCAGGCCCAGGGCAGACCACAGCCACGTGGGGAGAGGGGGCTGCGGGAAGGGGAAGCTACTCTCCTAGTGGGGTCCCGCGAGTGGGCGGCTGCTGACAGGGGTCCCGCCACCACCTGTCTCAGCAGAGCAGGCAAGCGACTCTGGGTGCGGAGTCCCGGTCTGTGCATGGAGTGGGGCTAGAGCGAGTCTAGGTCACGATGGCGGGGGGCAATGTCCCACGAATCCGGGCCAGGATCACCGAGGCTCCGGCTCAGGACAAATGTGTGGGGTGGGGGTGAGGTGCTGGCCCGCGGTGATATTTCACTCACCAGACTCCTACCACTCGGTTACTGGACACAAAACCCGCCTTGTTCGAGAGAGCGCTCAAAGTAAGCGGGTCCCCTGGTCCGCCATCTTCCTCCTAATTTTGGTTTTAATGTAGATGTTAGTCATTAGCAAGGTTAGCATCAAGGGAGCTCCAATTTTTAGGAAAATAAAATGAAAGTTTACATGTATCTGGTTTAGACCTGTGACTCAATGCCATTGCTGTCAGGTGCTGTTGACTTAGTTTTAATTCTTAGTGACTCTGTGTATAGCCCAACCAAACACTGCCCAGTTCTGCATTAGCAGCACAATTGTATGCATGTAATTGCATGTATAAATATATAAAAGGAGCCTAGTGGTATCATATGTACCCTCAACTCCCTTATACCTCTTCTTCCATCTTGACTAGTTTCTGCTCCTCGAGCATCTGCATGCTCTTAATATTTTGTCCTTTTCTTTGTCTTCTCTTTTAATCCTACCTTGGTTCCCCAACTTTTCCCATGATACGAGTTCTGTGTCGCTCCTTCTACCTTTCACGGGGCCAACTCTTATTGGCGAACTAGTATGTTAGTAAAATATTTTGGAAAATATGATCTCTGTGTCATTTAGATACATGGAAGTTTCTTAAGATACCAGGAGCTCTGTAGAAAATCCTGGGATGAAAATTTAACCCACGCTTCCTAGGTCTATGTAAAACGTTTCTTGAGTATAGTGGTTGAGGATGTGCACATGCTCGGAAGTCCGCAGCCAGGTTCTACCACTTGGGAGTTGTATGGTGAAGCCTCAAAGAACAAGAACTCGATAGGACTGCCGTGCTTTCCAGATCTTGTGAGGTTTCCATCACAATGGGTACTCTTACCATTTTTCTATTGCTTGTTTTTGTGGAAAATATGAGTTAGTGGGAAAATAGAACTAACTGATAATGTAGTTTTTCTACAGCCTTGTTGAAACCCCTTCATATTTGAGTTTGCCTTTTCTGACATGTTTATGCCTTCCATGGTTTGTGATTCAGCGGTGTTACTGTATACCTTTGGTCTATCTATCCCTTAGCCACACTGGTTCTCAGTTTTCTCATTAGTGAAATGGAGATAATACTACTACCTTCAAGTGATTGTGGTGATGACTCAATGAGCTTGTTTTGTTGTGTGTTCTTGAGTCAATTCTGACTCCATAGGACAGAAGAGAACGTCTTCATGGAGTTTCTAAGCCTTTAATCTTTATAGAGGCAGGTTGCCATCTATTTCTCCCACTGAGGGGCTGGTGGTTTTAATCTGCCCACCTTAAATTTATCTACTGAGCACATAGCCACTGCACTGCTAGGGCTGCTTTAAATGAGCTTGCATATGCAAGGGGGTGGTTCTAAAAGCTCATAGAAATTGTTTATAAATTCATAGTTTTATATATTTATAAATATTTCTAATTTTATGAAACAGTTTGTTTTGTTGTCTTTGTGTCTCTCTTGAATCAGGTCTCCCTGGGGCTTCTCCATGCCCATGCGACACATATTCTGTGGCCCCCAGAGCGCTGGCAGAAATTGGAGTCGTTTCTTCCTCCAGAGCGTTTACCTGTCCAGAGCACAGAGGACTGACCGTGTGCATCTGCTTGACTGCTGGACTCGAGAAGCTAACAGCACCCAGTGCAGGAAGGTGAATAGAAAAGAATATCCCCAAGAAAAGCTTTCAAAAATGATGCTCTAGGTGAAACACATAATAGTAAAATGATCTATATTATTGAATGAAAGAATCTCTTGATACTGAAATGTCAAAGTCTGACTGATTTATTTTCAATTTTAGTAGCCTAAAGTACAATACCCAAACAATCCAGACATCAGTGAATATGAAAATATATCATATTCACATGTCTTCAAGTAGATAAAATTGAAGTTTGGGTTATAAAATCTTTATTTTATCATCAGTCAAATTTTTATTTTGGGGCTCTGTACTAAAATTAATATTTTGATGAAATTAATTAGAGTAGATTGTCATTTACTGTTAAGAAGTGACCTAAAGGAATGCATGCTGTACACATAGAGAAAGAACATATTGTGATTAACATTACTACAAATGCAGTGACTGCCGTTTAGAAGAAGAGCAAGTGATTTAAAAATAAAATGCTGATTTTTCCAGATATTGTATGTATGGCATTTCATTTTTACTTAACCAGTACACCCAAGGAATATGCTGTCTCTTTTGGAAGTAAATAAAGTAATGGAGAACCAATTCTATCCCATAATTTGATGCTATCAACCTTTCTTATTGGCCCATTTTAATTCAAAACTTCTGCATGATTTCATGCCTGTTCACATTGATGAGTAAATCTATATATCAGTATTACCACTATTCAGTAAAATGTTCTGAGTGAAGTGGGGAAAATCACTCAAGATAAATAAATTCTCCCATCCCATGATTCCTCAGTGTTCTTGTCTCTGTAATACAAAAATCACCAAGTTTGTTGAGGGACTAATGGTAGAACAATGGAGTCTATAATTTGTATAGCTAAGGATGTAGATCCCTTCATCTAAGTCAATATTTAAAAAATGTTTCTTTCTTATTTTCTCTTCCATTGGTTAAACGTTAATATTGACAGAAACAAAATTCTAAATAGTGACCAGCCATCTTTCATATGCAGGTATAATTTCTTACGTATTTTTTTAAATCATTTTATTAGGGGCACATACAACTCTTATCACAATCCATACACACATCAATTGTGTAAAGCGCATGTGTACATTCATTGCCCTCATCATTCTCAGCAGAAAACAAAGAGCAAAAACAAAAGGAAACATATGTATATTCAAAACATATGTGTTATCTACAATTCATTAGATTCATAATTGCTTACTCAATAAAAATCAATGAGCATTTATCTATAAGGTTGGCCAGAATTATCTGTTTAAAAATAAAATCTGCTTAAAATCTTTCTATTGTTCTTCATTGTTGTCAATTCTGTGTGTGTGCTGCTGCTGTTGTTTGATTTGTTTTATGCTATACATTGTGAGTTAGGGAAAGGTTTACAAAGCAGATAATCAATTTTACACTCAATAATGTATTCATATTTTGTTACAACACATCCATTGCAATCCCTTCAATATAGCATTGCTTATCCCACTTCCTTTTCCTTATTTCCATTCCTCTTTTTTCCTAAACTTCTGTATTTTGTCCGTGGGAAGGTATTCTTTGAGCTTAATTCATTGATTTTTCTCCCATGAAACTGAGGTCTGTTTCAGACCTAAAGATTGGCTAAGGGTCATAGCCTTGAGGGTCCCACTGCCTCTACCTTGACCAGTAAATTCTGTCTCTTTGGTGTTTTGTGTTTTTACCCACGTTTTTATCCCACTCTAATACAGGACCATCTAATACAGTGGTTCCCAACTTACCTCATGCAGTGACCCTTTAATACACTTCCTCATGTAGTGGTGACCCCCAACTATAAAATTATTGTCATTGCTATTTCATCCCTGTCCTTTTGCTACTGCTATGTCTCGGGCGACCCCTGTGAAACAGTCATTCAACCCCCAAAGGGGTCATGACCCATAGGTGGAGAACCACTGATCGAATGCAATCCTTTTCAGAGGATTTTCAGAGCAGTTGGTCTTGGCAGCTGGGAACCATACGGTTCTTCTGGCTCAGAGTTGTGGAGACAGATGTCTGTGTGGTCCACTCGTTCATTGGACTAATTGTTTCATTGTGTCTTTCCATTTTTGTCATGCTTATTTCTTCTAGATGGGGAATGTGATCATTAGATTTTGTGTCAACTTGATTGGACCAGGATTCTCAGTCTTTTGTCTTTCCTTCTGGTGGCGAAAGACCACTAGTTGCACTGTACACAGTGGCTGTAATCTCTTAAGACCCCTATTGCTACTCACTCAAGTAGGATATAGAAAATAATAGTTGTGAATTATGTTATACCATTTGACCTTGGTGTCATTCGAGGCTCAGCATCTATACAATGTCTAAGAAGTTTTGATAATTTTTTCCCCAAAGTATGTTCCAATACATCCATGGCTATATTTGCAGCAAAGTTAAATACACATATAAAAATATCCTGTCAAATCTTTATTTATACCAGGGTATACTTCCACTCACGCTCCCATGTCTGTTTATTCTACATATATATCTATCCATATCTATAGTCCTAGATCATCAAAATTTTTGGACTATGTATATAATAGTAATCACCTCTGTTCCCTTTAATTCTTGCAAATCTCCCAGTGTCTGCCCCCATCTCAATAATTTTTCCAACCTTTCTCTTATTGTATACTATTGTCCTCTTCACTATAGTTACACATTTCTATCCTCTAACCCATGACTTCCCTTCCTTCCCTTCCCCCTTCATCCCTGGTAGACATCAAAATATACTTATTTTAATATGAAACATTTTATTGAGTTTTTACTATTGTGGTTTCATGTAATATTTGTCACTTGGTGATTGACTGATTTCACTCAGCATAATGTCCTCCAGGGTCCTCCATGTCATGAGGTGTTGTGTAGATTCATCGTTATTCAATTGTGTGTATGACCATAGTTTATTTATGCATGCTTTCATTGATGAATCTTTCGGTTGTTTCCATCTTTTTGCTCTTGTGTGCAGTGTTGTGGCTGTGAGTATTGTGGGAGGATACAACCTTGACACACAAATCTGTTTATTTTAAACCATGCAGTATTCCCCTGTTCTTTTTGCACAATGGTCCCTTGATCCATGTACAGTTTTTGCAAGAGTACAATGAAGTGCTCAGGAATCTCCATTCTTCTCAAGCCTATCCCTAGTTAGTTATGATCTTCAAAGTCAGATACCTAATCACAGTCTATAAAACACAACTGAGTATCTTTCTGAAATTCCCTGCTTCAGTCCAGATCCGTATGACTTCAACAATTACATCCCTTGTTCCACATCCTCTTCTGAATCCAGCCTGAATCTGTCTGTCAAAGTACAGCTGCAACCATTTTTGGATGATCTTAAGCAAAATTTTACTTGCACATTACTGTTCTGAATGATACTGTTCTTAAATTTAAACATTTTGTTGGATCACAGTCCTTTAAAATGGGTACACATACGGATCTCTTGTAGTTAGTTGACCAAGTAGCTGCCTTCCAAATTTCTGAGCATAAATAAGTGAGTTCTTCCAGTTCTTCATCTGCTTGTTGAAATATTTCAATCAGTATTCCATCAATTCCTAGTCTTATTTTTGCCTAGAGCCCTGGTGGTATTAATAGTTAGACCTTGATATTTGACCCTCATGGTTAACAGTTTGAAACCAACAGCCGCTGTCAGAAGGAAGGCAGGGCTTTGCAGTCCCATATACAGTTCCAGTCTCTGAAACTCAAAACAGGAAGTTCTATCTTGCCCTTATAGGGTCACTAGAAGGTAGAATCAACTCAGAGAGTTTGGTTTGTGTGTTTTTTCTCTCGCTCATGCTCCCAGTGCAGCTTGAACGTCATTGGTTCTTGATTGTATGCGACCACTTGAAATGGTGGGATGTCAGCTGGAACTTTCTGGTAAAGTGACTGTGTGTTCTTCCCATCTTCCTTTGATGCTTCCTACATCCTGACGTAATTTGCTCAAAGAATCTTTGAGCATATTGCTACATATTGCTACACGAGGCTTGCATTTTTCCTTTAGTTCTTTTAGTTTAAGATACATTAATGTGTTCTTCCATTATTTCCCATTTCATTTCTGTTCAGCTCCTTGACGTAATCATGTCTTCCAGTTTTTCTTAGCTATTCTATGATAAAGAGCATGTTTCAGTCTCTTTTGATATCTGCTTTTGTCTTTTCTTTCTTTAATGTCTTTTTAAAGTTGGTTGTGTTCTTTATTTGTAATGCTCTTGATGTCATCTCGCAGCTCTTCAGGTCTTAGGTCATTAGCGTTCAAGGAGTCAAATCTGTTCTTAAGATGTCCTTGAAATTCAAGCGGAATGTATCGAAGGTGGTATGTTGGTTCTCATGATCTTGTTTTAATTTTCTTCAGCTTCAACCTAGCCTTATGTATGAGCAATTCATGGTGTGGCCCACAGTCAGCCACTAGCCACATTTTAGCTACTAATATTGAACTTCTCTATAACCTCTTCTCATAGATATAGACAATTTCATTTCTGTATATTCCACCTGGAGAAGTCCACATGTAGAGTGATATTTTGTATTGTTGAAAAAAGGTATTTACAATGAAGAAATCATTAGTCTTGAAAAATTCTATCCTGTCATATCTAGCTTTGTCTTTATCAACAAGACCACATTTTTCAACTATTGTTTATTCCTCATTGTTTCCAAAATTTGCATTACAATTGCCAATAGCTATCCATGTCTCTCTCTCTCTCTTTTTAATTGATGTATCTTGATTGTGTGTTTAGTCAACTTCAGACTGAAAACATCGGTAGAATTCTTCAATATTTGCATCACTAGCTTTAGTGGGTGGTGCAAAAAGTTGTATGGACTGGATTTCTTATCTGCAGATAGACATGATCCTATCACAGACAGCATTATCCTTCACTATCGATCTTGAAATATCCTTTTTGATGACAAGTGTGATGCTGTTCTTCTTGAATATGTCACTCCCAGCAGAGTACGCCATATGATTTTCAGATTCAAAATGGTCCATTCCAATCCCTTTCAACTCACGAACACCTGGAATATCAACATTGATGTATCCTGTTTCACTTTTGATGATTTACAGTTTTCCTGGATTCAGATTTTGTACATTCAAATGTCCCATTATTAATAGATGTTTGCAGCTATTCTCAAGTTGAGTCATTTCCCATCAGCAAATGAAGGTCGCAAAGGCTTCACTCCCACAGGCTTGGCTCCACCCCTGTCGTTGTTGACTGTGTTTTGAGAAGGCAGTTCTTCCTCCATCATATCTTGAATGCCGTCCCCCCTGAGGCGCTTATCATCTGGCACTCTCTCTGACCATGTGCTCAGGCTCTTCCTGTGGTTTTCAGTAGCTGACAATGTTTTTATGCTATCCCTAGGTTTACCGTAGTTTATTCCTCAGGAGTAGACAACCTGTTCCTTCTTTGTAGTCTATTCTTAGGAGGGAAGCTCTGCTGAAACCTGTTCACTTGAGGTGACCACCTAGCATGTGAAATACCAGTGACACAGCTTCCAGCATCATAGCAGCACACAAGCCACCAAAGGTGGACAAACCGACAGACAAGGAGTGGAACAAAATGTGAGCAAACAAAATCCAACTGAGGCAGCATATTGATGCTCCTATTTTCTTTTCCATTTTGTTGACCTCTTTCTTTCAACTGATGCATTTAATGCATTGACATTTATTGAGAGTGATCAATTTCTTCCTGCCACTTTTCTGTCTGTGCTGTTGGGAGGCTGTTGGTTTCTTTACTCCGCATCATTTTCTGTTCTGAGTTGATTTTGTAGGTAGGTTTTCTTGCCATTTCCTCACTGCTTTTGTTTTAATGTTTACTAAAACTTTATGATTTTCCTCTTTTTAATTTTGATAAGGGTTTTCTATTTACTTTGTGGTTACCCTGTAATTTATTAATTTTGTCCCAAGTTTAAGACAGTCTGTTCTATCTTGTCAACTACACCCCTCACAGTTCTTCAGTTCTATTCCCTGCTCGAACATTTCACTCTGCCTTTAACTACAAAGTTCCAAATATTCACTATCATCTCGTGGCTTGTTATAGGATACTATAAAGTATTCTATTAAATTATAGTTTATAGATTTTGAATTTCCCTAAACAAA